GATTCGTAAACTTAATTTAGTTTGATTGTTGTCGTTGATCGCCACAAACTCATTCAGTACATTCGCCTTCTCAAGAATTTCGATGAATATATGGCGGGCCTCCATATTCCATTGATTCTGCCATATTGAAATAATAATTACGTTTGTAAATGAACTGAATTACTGAATAAAATAACTAAGTTTAGTTTTGTTATATCCATAGTTTTGTTATATTATATCCTCAGTACATTGCTAGTAAATCGATCAAAGCAACAAGAAAAGATTCATAACCAAATCATTTACCAATGCCTTTCATCTACCGTAGCTTATGTAATGCGTACTAAAACTAAATAGGAAAGACGGAACTGAACGAGTCAGGATGGGGTTGATGAAGATCATGTAGAACAATTTCGATGTAAGGTCTAACGTCTATCAAACCACAGCCCGTGAATCGCATTCGAACCACCATTCTCATATCCCTACTAAACGCTCCACATTTTTTTGTTAACGTGTCGCTGAAGATGAGAGGGGGATAATGATCTATTATTTTTATTGGCCAAATAATAGACATAAGAACGATTATGAGAAATGTAAACATAACGAAACTGTCAAAGCTAAACTTCAAAATGGGGAGGAATTGCCAGATGAATGTACGTAACCAATAGTTATTCAAGACACGAACCATCATATCGGTATAGACACGAATTGACATGGTCACATACCACGAGGCTAGAAAAATATTTTTCCTTTTTGGAATTGGACACGGACCGAACAACACGCATCAGCCTCGCAAGAACGGAAGTAATCCTAACTAAGCAATTTATTAAAGCTGACGACATTGGTTTGGTTAAAGTCAATCCTCAGCGTGCGTATACCTGGGGAATATACTTATCGGCATTGTTCCCCCACATTCCTTCCGACAAATCCCCAACCAAGTTGTTACCCGTTGAAATAAAGAGTCTGTGGATATAAATTCTGGTCTATTCATTTGGCAGCAGTTAGACCGTAGTTAGACCGTACACCGGTAATCCCAAAATCATCAAGCGTAAGTCAACCTCATTATTATCACCATCCCATTGGAAACGAGCTACCCAACAACAGTTTATCGAGATTCCTGTTTGGACCGACAAGAAAAGGTCAAGCAAATCATTGGCGCCCAACTAAACGGCTGAAAAAGAATAAGTTTTTGTTGAACAGAACCACACTTAAGCCCGGCATAAAATAACCGCGTGCTCAGCTGAGGGAATATAGCAATTTCATCATCGAATCAATTTAATACATGATAAAATTAGATTTAAGGAAAATATAAAATCTTTAAGTCGTTTTTATCATTTTGTTGGTCACAAAATTGTACGTCGGTGAACCATACATATTCGAGTTTAATAAATTTTTGATAAATTTTTTCTTTTAGAAATTCCGCTATTATAAATCATCATTTAGATTGAATCAAATAATTATCTTTTGAATTCATAATCACTGTAAATCAATATCTTCCTCAGTCTTCACACGACATGATTTAATTGATTTTTATTGGAGCTCGTTTTCAAGAAAAATTTGTGTGGATATTTTGATTATTTATTTCCGTGGGGGTGAATGGTGATCCATCTGCGATGCGAACACCATTGATCAGCAGTCATAACCATTCTCGTTCAGTTCAGTTCGCCAATTTTGAAAAGCTAGTTAATTGAATTTTTTAATCAAGTAACACCACACATCGACGGTCAAGATTTTTGAACCGGTAATTTTTTATTTCGTCTTTCGTATAAGTTCAAGCAACGTAACCGATATCACGGTCAATATTCATTGAACCAAACTATTAATTTTTCTTTATTTTTTTGTAATTTATTTAAGTATTCATTCCCAATAAAATTTGAAACTCGTATCGAGATTCCTGCTTGGACCGACAAGAAAAGGTCAAGCAAATCAGTCACCAAAGTGAATGTTGTACTAGGTCCTGTGGCCTGTACCCTCGCGTTCCCAAATCTGCCGGGTTGTGGTTCGTGGATACGTGACGCCATTTGATATTTCCAACACTTGCGATGATTTGTGAAGTCCGATTCGCCACGTACACTTTCCAATTGCATGGGGGTTTTTAAAGCCACGCAAGCACTATCGACGAGTCGGACCAGAAAAAGACTTCTACATCTTCTAGAGGCAGTTGATTGATGACATTCTTAATGCATTTGGCTAATAGGACTGCTCCATACAGTTCTAAGCGCGGAAGACTCACTGTTTGTAGGGGTGCTACTTTCGTTTTTGAAAAGAAAAGATGTGACGAAACTAAGTTGGGTGTTTGGGATACTAAGTAAATGGCTGCACAGTACGCCTTCTCGGAAGCGTCACAGAAACCGTGAATTTGAATTTTTGTATCTTGAGGGAACTCCGTCCATCTTGGTATTTGAATTTTTTGAATCATGGGTAAGTCCGATAAAAATTGGTCGCAAATAGACGAGTTTCTTACTAGGCGATACGAAGTGGTTGAGCGTTTGCAAGGCTATAAAACTACAAAAGTCCGTCACTCGTTCCCACAAAAAACGCCTGCAAAGATACAATCTTATCACTCGCAAGAGACACTATCAGCTAAGTGCAAATTATGCACAAAAAACTATCCGCTTAGGTACTGTCAGGAATTTTGGAAAATTTCGATTCTCGAACGGTCCAAGCTCATCGAAAGCAACGGTTTTTGCGCTAATTGCTTGGCTTATAATCACCCTGCTGCCAAATGCCAAAGCACGCTTCGATGTCTTAATTGTAAGAAATCTCACCATACCATGTTTCATCCCCAGCTAACAAGCAAGCCTGAACAAAAGGTGCCAGCTAACAAACCAAATACCAAACCATCCAAAAATGCAACCGCCTTGTTGCATACACAATCCATCGAATCTTCCTCCAGTCAGTCCAGACATCCGATTTTCGATATAACTGAAGGTAATTGCGAGGGGTTCTACCCATATCCAAGCTAATTTTTCAACAAACCATGAACGAACCCTCCTCCCAACCGCTCAAGTTCCTATTGAACATTTGGACGAGATCTATACCCTAAGAGCCAGAAACACCTTCAGATTTAAGCCAGAAAGGCAATCATTAACGTACTTTGAATTTTCTGGATTACTTCAATATTTTCAGAATTAGCTGAAGATATAGAGAATAGCATTTTAAGTTGTTTATCGATCAGAACTCGCTTGTTTTCAAAGCGAGCTCTCAACGCTTCCCAAGCAAGCGAAAAGTTTTCGTCACATATTTTTTAATGCTATACGATGGTACCAGCTTTTCCTCGCGTTTTATTCCACAAATATAATTTCTGTGCCGGTGTTAGCTTCGGACGATTGAGATATACGGCCGTGAACATATCACGCAACGAAGGCCAATCTTCGTAGCTACCATAGAAAATTTGCGCATCACAAAGCGGGACCTTTATACAGGGGATGGAGTTGTCCACAAAAGTGGAGGAGTCCCGAGCATTACCTCTATTTTGCGAGGAGCTGCCTTGGAAAAGTTTGAGCTGATCGAGTATTTGTGATTTGCAGATATAGTAACTATCAGTGCACAATTGGTACTTTCCGGTAGCTTCTTCTTCAAAATCTTGGGAAATTTCGTGATCATCCGCAAGACAGACCTTTTTAAAGGACACTTCTAACCTTTCCCATTTGGCATTGAGATCCTGAAGCTTAATATCAAATAAGGTGTCGGTGTGATCATCGTGATCTTCCTCAAAATGAGCATACAATTTTATAATGCTGTTTGACTCAAAGATGAAGCCAGCCATTAATGCAGCGTCGGTAGCCATTACTGAAAATTTGATAACCCAAGAAATGTGCTGAATGTAAACTATGTTGAAAATACTTATGTATTTAAATATGTATTTGTATTTGTATATGTGCATATAAAATGCACTCATAAGCTTATTATACTTTATTTACCAGCTTCGCATAATTGTAATACTTATAAGCATATTCTTGATACATTAAACGGTCAGTCCACTCATAAACCTCAAACCGTCGTGTTCTTTATTCTCTC